CCAGCGCGCATGCTTCCAGCGTCGCGTGACTTCCGCTGTCGTAACAGTATGGTTTTAATGAAATTCATTTTTTCTTTAAATAAACATGTAATTATTTACTAATTAGTCTATCTTGATCTAATCTCACATAAACTGACCTAACCTAGCAAAATAAAAAAGGATATAAAAATATTTCCTTTCATTTCCCCAAATTGTAATTTATATTTGAAATCAGCAGTAAAAACTACATTCAAAAATATATTTTTTTTCTATTTGAACGCTGTGTATGAAACAAAAAAGATCCGAAATATCACTTATGTATGTATATCTATGTAATGTTTTAAAATAAATTGTTTTTTTAAATTGTGCTTTTCTGTGTCACATTTTTTTCAACCCCCCTGCGGGACTTGGGAAGCATCAGTCTTGTCTGTTTCAAACTTTCAGATCAACTAATGGACGCCAGCTCAACTGATTTTGTTTGTTGTATTTAGCACGCCTTCTAGATTAGCCTTAACCTACATACACGGTACAGCTAGTGTTCGACATGCATATAGTAGGGTACCGGGGAAATCCGTGTTGGGGAATGGGACACAGCTTCTGTTGGAACTACATCCGGTACACCGTTAGTCTGGAGTCCACGGCGAGCTAAGGTGGAAGTCGAGACTTCTAAGGGTCATCTTTCATACGTTAAGCTTCTAAATTTACATTTATACAAAATTAATGGCGTGGATGGTGGGGTGGGTGCTCACCACTTTTCAATCTGTTCTACCAAAAATATATATCAAAATTACGAACATTACTCTTAGGAAAAGCATGAGAATACATGAGATTTAATCCAGAACCTAAGAATTTTCAGAGCCCTGGACCACGGCTGTAATGGGGGCGCCTATGTCGCACATTCCCTCGTTCTGCTCGGTCAAATAAACCTTGCCTTTCTTTTAATTTGCCTTCTACACCTTTGAAAATGATTACTTGTGTATTTGCGTTTGTTAAGCTAAAACTGGTTTGGAATTATGTTGTTTTTAAAGCTTCAAACATTCAAAATTGTGAATATGATTCTTTTTCTTTCTTTTTGCGTTTAATCCAACTGTATTTTTTGTGTTAGTTGTAAAAAAGACTAAACAATGTTTTTCAAATTTATCGATTGGGATGTGCTGCCCTCTAACGAGGAAGCCCCGCTTTTATTAGAAAAAGAGAGAGTGAGTAGCTGTAATTCAATATCTTATTTTATGGTTGATAACCTTGAACACTAATGACGTAAACAACACACATTTGCCATTTACAAATCAAAAAATAAAAATAAACATTATCAGCACAACCTGGAAAGTAAGGATAATTATGAAATATATAGTTTCAAACGCCTGATGTTAAAATTAGCGTAGATGTATTTATTGTGTAAACCGAAAGTAAAATCATGAAACTGAAAGGGACCATATTCACATATTAACGCTGTACTAAATGTTTAGAAATTAAGAGACAATCTGAACCTTATATTTTATCAAAATTGCTAACATAAATTGCAGAATATTGACATTAGTCTGTGTCTGAAATCATAGACTTGATTCTTTCAACATTTGAAGGATAATAATGTGTCTGTGACAAGTTTTACATTCACTAACATAAAAATGTTATTTTAAATGCACTTTCGCTTTCGGCGCCCCCTATTCTCTCAATGCTACACACATAAAAAAAATAAAAAATAGACGAAGATATGACTAAGAAGAATCAGCTGTTTTAAATCTCGATTGCAGTGAAATATAACCGATTAACAAACAGATCGAGAAATCCGCTTCCGCGAATGGTGTCGCCACAGGGAATATTAAAGTTTCTGACATCGACCAGGATAAGGAGTACTCCCGAAGCGGCACGCAACAAGTCACGCGAATCAAGCTGTTAAAGCTAAGTATTTATCAAATATGGCATCTAAATCTTTACGGTCAATGGGAGATCGTGAATCATTGAATAATAAGGCAAAACTAACAGATGAAGACATTGTCATGGTGATTGACCAAGTTCTTAATATACCACACATACACTGCCTATCATGCGCTTGTGGACATCCGTTCATGTATCATCTCCCGTTCCTATACATGATACTTAAACTCTACAAAAGGTTGGTTTTTTTCTCCCATTTATTTAAGATAAAAAACAAACAACGAAGCTTGGAAATACGATTAGTGTTTCTGTTTAGATAAAGGCTCAACTAGCATAATATATTACGTTGTTCTTAATTGTTTCTGTTAAATATAAACCTATATAACAATATTTGTAACCATTGTTACTCCTAGAAGTTAAAAACTGGAAAAGATACGTTCTTTACAGTGTACTTTAATCGTATATGTAATTTTGATCCGTTATTAAAACGATGAAATGATGTAAAGTTTACGGAAAATCTAAATAGAGAAGTTACGAGGTATTTACGATAAAACTAAGTTAAAACTACGAAAAAAATTCCAAGTTACCCAGTTATTAGCTTATGCTATGTAGGTAACTATTGAGGATATTGTTATTAATTTTATATGTGACTGTGATATTATTAGAAGCCCTGTAATAAAAATCACCCATAGACCTAGAAGTAATTTATTTAGATGGATGTATTTTAAAAAGTCGATCGGACCCCTAAGGACCTATGGTAATTTTGGGATTAAATCCCGTGTTGGTATATTTTCGTGTAGTGTTACTCAAAACCTTTGACAATTCTTTTTGTGTCTGTCTTCCTTAAACACGTGTTATTGTTGTCGCCTATATTTACCCGTTCATTGATTCACGATAAATCATGATATTTTCATTTCAAACGAAATCCCAGACTAAGATATATACTTATGTTAATTAAGGAATAAGACTGTTTGACCTGGATCTTAGCTGTTCTGCCATATACTTGGAAATTCCAATTTGGGATGGGTGTGGCCTGATGGTTAGCATACTAGACTTTGAATTCGAGAGTTCTTTGTTCGCATCCCTTTGCTGCAGAATCACGCTCCGCACTTTGTGGTCATGGGCGCGTTATAAGATTGAGAGTCGAATCCCATTATTCGATTAGAATAGCCCAATTGTTGGCGGTGGGAGCTGTTGACTAATTGCCTTTCGCCTAATCTACCAATTTAAAATTAGACGGCTATTATAGCACAGATAACACTTATGTAACCTGGCGCAAATATCCAAAAGTAACTGCTGTGTTTTGTGTTTTTTCATCTTCCTTTATGCTTGTCAAGTCTGTGACCTAGTCTGTTTAGGTAGCGGTCTAACATATAAAAACTAATGTTATCCGTGTTTGTTGTGATTATATCAGCGTATTTATCGGTACACAAATTATGTTATTCTACTGATACAACATAAAGTTTATGAAAAAACAAATAACGCTTGCATTACATCAATTTGTTAAAGACGTTTAAAGTTTGTTGTATCAGCTATTACGTGTGTATGTATATGTATTTGTGTCCCCAGTCAACAATATTCACTTCCGCCTGACCTCGTCATGTGGTTGAGGAAGTGAATACAGTTAGCTACGTTTCTTGATCAGATTTGTTGAAAGAGAGACGTGATGAAAACTTGTCGTTTACCATAGAATCGTGTATATTAAAATTATACAAATATATATATTTGATAGGATTTATTATATAGTATGTTCGTCATGCTAGTGAAAAGTTATTTTATGTTAGAAAGTAATTAAAGTATATTAATACTCTATTTAACGATAAGCAGGGGTGATCTTAATAACAAGGGATTTCAGTTTTTCGTGTTTGCATATCAGTACATTTTTGTGTATGTTTTGTACATAAAACCGGTTTCATTAGTGTTAATTTTTAAATTCAAGTTTGCGTACTTTGAATTATATATCACATCCATGAAGGTTATTATACATTTCTGGGTCGTTGTGTGTTCTATTGTACTGGTCGAACTTCGTGAAAAATGTGGTCGCAAATTTTGTTAACAGCCCAGTGGCTCAGCGGTAAATCTTGGGGCTTATTCCGCTAAATGTCGGGTTTCGATTACCGTGGTGGGCAGAGCACATATAGCCCATTGTGTAACTTTGTGCTTAACTACAAACAAACTTCTTCGAGACTTCGGATTTCGCAATATTACAGATGTCATGTAAACAGTTATAGTGTGTGTGTGACCTTTGTAACCCACTTGTTCAAGCTTATTTTAGGTTGTTTTTCATATATTTTAAGTGTATTTGAAAACAATTGATTTTAGAAATGTTTTCCCGATTTTAAGCTTGTATTAAAAGCATTAAAAATTAAGGACATTATTTCGCCCATAACACTATCAGATTTAGATAGCCCATTATGTAGCTTTGTGCTTAACTTCAAACCCCAAAAATAAATACTTATATATTCCGAAAGACGCCAAATTTTATGAGAAACTTAACCCATGTACGATGTAGTTAAAATAACTAACACAAAAAATAAATAATTAAGTTGCTTGTTAATAACTAGCGTTAGATTATCGTATAGTCTAATATGCATTAACGACCTTACCGTAGTACTTATGAAAAAAAAAGATAAAAAGAGATTTCTTCATAAAAGTTTTCTTCTATTCAGAAGTTGCAAAGGGAAAAAACAAACGTGAACACTTAATATTTACTATGGACAACTTCAGTTGTTTTTTGGCAGTCGTTAACTAAAATAGCTTTTCGACAACCCAATAATATTTAGATGGCATTTATCCGTCTTTCTATAGACGGGCTGCTATATTTACAAGTACAAGTTGTATTCTGCCATTACGGTTTTTATTGCTATTATTTATGAAATTTTAAAGCGTGTACTGACACACTTGTGTATGCGTGTAAACTGCATACTATACATATATGATAGCCTTCTAGTGGCTCAGCAGTAAATATGAAAACTTGTATAATAAAGTTTAAATAACACGATGTTTACTCATTTTATAACGTTCTGTACACCTCAAAGAAATAACTATAGACTACAACTTATGCAAACAAAAAACAACAGAAATATGATAAAGAATTCGAGAGAACGTTATATTATTGGATTCGAGTTTGTTTTCAAGGTTATATTTAATGTAGCTGGAACATGACTGTGTAAGATCTGTAAGTATTCTCGAATGGTGGCAAAGGTTTGGGCTGTGACTATATACTTTTTCAAGGTCTCTGGTTACACCGGGAACAACTCTAAGTATTTGCTTAATATTTCTTTCCATACAAACAAACAGACAGACGGACAGACACACACCAGAGCTAGGATAGATACTTATATATTTTGTTTCATATGAAATTTCAAATTTTACTCTGATGACGAGATAGTTCATTTTATTTTAAGATTAAGAGTTACCAGTTTGTTGTTGTTGCTTCTACATAGAACGTGAGTGAACTAACCTTACGTCATTGTAACTAATCTGTTAGTACAGCTTGTTGTAAATCTTCATTTGTCGTGGTGGGTGGCTTTTATGAGGAGTATGTTTGTTGTTAAAGTCTGATTCCTACTACGTCATTTATACGCAAATACAATGCTCGCTACAGGAATTAAACCACGTAATTTTAGCGCTATAGGCCTTGAACTTACCGTTGACCCGTTGAAGAGTAACTTGTTGTTTAAATACAAAGCTACACAATGGACTATCTGTGCTCTGTACACCATTGAGAATCGAACCTCGGATTCTACCATTGTAAGTCCATAAACTTGCCGCTGACCCACCAGGTGACTGTTTGAAGTGTCATATGAGTCTACAATATCGCCGAAATAAAATATTCCTTTCATGAACCTCTTTCCCAATCGCTATATCATACATAATTCAAAGAGTTAATCTGCTTTTACTTGGGATATCAAACTCGAAATGCAGTTACTGCAAAAGGGTTGGGATTAGCTAAATATTCGGTGTCGTACACCAGGTTTTATAGAGTCTAGAAATGTTTTGCATATTGACTTCTTAAAATATTTATTCTGGATAGATTATTTGCTAAACATTTAAAATTCTGTGTTGTCTAAACTATGTTTTAGCAACCATCCAAAACATCACTGCCTGCACTGTAATAGTGGACATATTATTTTATACTATCACCCACCACCACCACACACACACACACACACACACACACACACTAATATACATCAGATGATATAGTCATAGATTAATGTTGTTGTTTTTTCTGTTGCATGATTATCTTTTCTGCTATATTTCAATTGTTCAATATCAGAAAACATATCCAAGGTTCTTGAATTCCTTTTCTGATGAACCTGTATGCTTTTTGAATATCACGAGTTTTAGTGATTCTGGGAATGACTGCTACTAGTCAATATTAACCACAGCAGAAGACTTACAACGCTAAAACCGGGTTTCGATATCCGTGGTGAGCACAGCACAGACAACCTATTGTGTAGCTTTGCACTTAACTACAAAGAAACTATAATAGAATGTCACTGTTTTTTTCATCATAATCAAAACATAAGTAAGTCATATGCTGGCTGATTTATAAAATTGAACGAATATATATATATATTCCGGTTCTACCTACCAGAAAATAATGAAGCAACCCAGTTAGATAAATAAGCTTTCGTTCCTCTCGAGTGAATTATCTTCCTGAATTGAACTTTAACTAGAAATCAAGTGCTTTCGCGCAGTTTTGTAGTGACTGCTTCTCAGATTCAGAATGAAAATATACGTGTTTTTTTTTATTTAACTCTCAGAACAATCCTGTGTAGTATTTCTATTATCCTGATTAATATTCCGTGTATTATTTTGGAGAACTTCTGAACATTTGAAGGAAATATTAAGTTTCACTGAAAAACCCTGATGCGTATTCTATTGACACTGCGCAAGTGTTTTTCCATTTCAGTCCAGAAGTGCTCTAGGAATTTGAAGGAAATATTGAGTTTCATAGAAAAACTGATGAGTAGTTTAGTGATATCGCGAAATTATAGAAATATGAGTCTCATTTCACAAAGTTATTTCAGTTGAGAACAAATTAAGGTTTCTGATTAAGAGTTAAACAGTGTTTCTATATTCTAGAGTTAAACAGTATTTCTATATTTAATATTTTAGCGACAGAAAAGCGTAACTACTACATGTTTCTAACATTGGTTCCTTGATAAACACGTGAAAAACTTAACATGCTATTATAATTTTCGAGAAGTTTGTTTGTTTTTGTCTGTT